GAGAGTTTACATCTATGGGAACAGAAAGTCATAAATATGTAATGTGAGGTAAGGATAAATGGTATGAAGAAAAATAAATCAGGACAAAGGGATAGAGAGTGGAGAAGTAGTGTTTTAGTTAGGGTAGTTCTATTTTAGCAGACATCTTAAAGAATTGAGGAAGTGAGTTGTGCAAATGTTTCAGGGAGAGTGTTCCAGACAGACCCTGAAGTGGGAACATACTTGGTGGGCATGAGGGACAATGTGGCCGCAGTGTGGATGCAGCAATGACTGTGGGAAATGAGGCTGGAGGAGAAGCCAGAGCTGCACACTATGAGGTCTTGAAGGTCCTGAGAGCTTTGGACTTTTACATTGAAATGATTGGAAGACCTTTGGAGGGTCTTGAGCAGAGAAGTAACATGATCTAAAAGTATGATTCTGGGTCACCTGGGTGGTTCTGTTGGTTAAGCGTCTGACTCTTGGTTTCAGCTTAGGTCGTGATCTCAGGGTGGTGAGATCAAGCCTGTATCAGGCTCTGCACTGGGCGTGGGGCCTGTTTGATATTCTCTCTCTCTCCCCTCTGCCCCAACCGCTATGCTTGTGTGCTCTCTAAAAATAAAATTAAAAAATAATTAGAGAGAACAAAAGTATGATCCTGACTTAGTGGGCTGACAGTGGGGAATGAGATCAAGAAGCTCTCTTTGGAGGCTATCACAGCCATACAGGTGAGCTATGGTGAATGCTTGGATTACCTGATGAAGTGAGAAGTGGTCAGATTCAGGATATAATTTTAGGGGACAGGATGAATGAATTGGGTGTTAGCAAGAACAAGTAGATTGAGAAAGCATTTTTTTTCAACACAAATGGCAGGTGAAAAACATTAATAGACAAAAAGCACCTACTTGAATTGAAATTGAGTAAGAAAAGGACAAACTACCAGGATGGAAAATGAGTAATTCACAGAAGAGTAAGTCCAAAAGACCAAGAAACCTATAAGAAATGCTCAGTCTCACTAGGTGTTGGGGAAATGAAATCAAAGCCAGACTTAGATATTACTTTTCCCATTACACAGACCAAAAAGAGTTAGCTACTACTTTTCTCATTACTGTTTTTCTCAGTAGCTACTGTTTGTAGCACCAGTGAGAGTGTGGGGAAAATAGAACTCAGACATCCCTGGTCAGAATGTGACTGATTACAAATTTTGGGGAAAGAGATCACAATTTTTCATTAACATTAAAAATACATATTTTCTTTTTCTCTTGACTTGCCAGTTTCACTTTTGGAAATTTATCCTAGAGAAATAAAATCCTCATCATGTACAAAGATGTTTATTATAACACCATTCAGCTAATGGCAAAAAGCTGGAAACAAACCAAATATCCATTTTTAAGGAATTGGTTGAATATGCAGTAATTCATCCACTCTTCTGTGATAATGCATTAGAATGATGTCCTTTGACCTGGAGTGATGCGCATGATGTTAGGTGAAGAAATCAAGTTGCAGAATAATGTGTGTAGGTTGACTCCATTTGCATATATGTTTATATGAACATGAATTAAGATATGGAGAGATTCATAGGAAGTTAACACTGATAGGAGTTTTTAATTTTTGCAGAAAAATTTAATAAAGATTTAAATAAAATATTTTTGAAAGCTGGGTTACAATGTATATAATCTGTAGTGTGGTATCTCTTAGATTTTACTTCCCCACCTTGGCAGATGCTCAAGATTCTGGATGATGATGGATGAGAGTATCTTTAGTTTTCAAACACCAAAAAAACAGGCTATTTCTTCAAAACCTAATTGGGACCTCCCAGGTACAGAGTAGTGACATTGATTGTTTTTCCTATTCTTAAGTGTTTTAAAAGGGGGGTAGTGAAATTTCATTAAATGTAAAACTGAGTGTTCTGATCAATTTTTCAGTTTAACTTTTTATCCCTTTGGATTCTGTTTTAAATTCTATGCTTTTTCTCTTTCATCAGCTCTCTGTATTAATTTCTTAGATATGCCAGTTATAATCTAGGGTGGGAGATACTTGTGGGCAATGGTAAATTGCATTTTTAATGCAGTTCTAACCCAGGAAATCTTTAATTGGGGTAGGAGCCACACTGTATGATTTTACATAAATTGTTACTTCCCAATATTTTGCACTTCTTATTCAGCTTCGTTATCTCTAAACTCAATTTCCTGCTTTTCTTATACTCTTTTCCTACACATAATATGACTAATGGTAAGACTTCTACTCGTTCTTTTTTCTGTCTTTATTGAGGTAAAACTGACAAAAATTATACATATTTAAGGTATAAGACTTGATTCCCCCCGCCCAGTTTTGTTGAGATATAATTGACATGCAACATTGTGTAAGTTTGTGTACAGCCTAATGATATATGTATATGTTATAAAATGATTACCACAATAAGTTTAGTTAACATCTGTCACCTCACATAGTTACAACTTTTTTTTTTCCTTGTGATAAGAACTTTTAAGATCTAAACTGGGCATTTTTTTTAAAGATTTTATTTATTTATTCATGAGAGAGAGAGAGAGAGAGGCAGAGGGAGAAGCAGGATCCCCTCTGAGCAGGGAGCCCGATGTGGGACCTGATCCCAGGACCCTGGGATCATGACCTGAGCTGAAGGCAGACGTTTAACCATCTGAGCCACCCAGGCGTCCTAAACTGGGCATTTTTAAAAAATTTTATTATGTTATGTTAATCACCATACATTACATCATTAGTTTTTGATGTAGTGTTCCATGATTCATTGTTTGCATATAACACCGAGTGCTCCGTTCAATACGTGCCCTCTTTAATACCCATCACCAGGCTAACCCATCCTCCCACCCCTCTCCCCTCTAGAACCCTCAGTTTGTTTCTCAGAGTCCATAGTCTCTCATGGTTCGTCTCCCCCTCCGATTTACCCCCCTTCATTTTACCCTTCCTACTATCTTCTTTTTTTTAACATATAATGTATTATTTGTTTCAGAGGTACAGGTCTGTGATTCAACAGTCTTACACAATTCACAGCACTCACCATAGCACATACCCTCCCCAATGTCTATCACCCAGCCACCCCATCCCTCCCACCCCCCATCACTCCAGCAACACTCAGTTTGTTTCCTGAGATTAAGAATTCCTCATATCAGTGAGATCATATGATACATGTCTTTCTCTAATTGACTTATTTCGCTCAGCATAATACCCTCCAGTTCCAACCACGTCATTGCAAATGGCAAGAGTTCATTCCTTTTGGTGG